AATTTTAACACTTTATAAATCGGAGTTATACACGAGTATGTGTTCCAAATTTCATTTTCCCATTTTCAGCTTTAAGTTTATGTGTATTAAACAAAATATTAATATTAAACAAATATTAATTTATTTTATTTTCATCTGCGAGATGATATGTAAACAGATAATGCGAGATGATATATAGATCAACAAATTATTTAATTTAAACGAAACATTGTAAACAGCTCGAGAAAAAAATAATAATTAATTATTAGCTATTATTATGAAACTTTTACATATATTATATATAAAGGCCTCAATGAATTTTCCGCACTTAAAGACTGATGCAAATCAGTATGCAGTTTCTTTCAGTGGTCGCTCTCGGAATTCCATACAATGAAGTGTTGAACCGGTTGGCAGTAAACTTATATTTATATTTTCTTAAGACACTGGACACTCTGTCTCCTCGATTTGCTGATCGACTTCTATGGAATTGATATTCATACACGTCCGTAAAGTTGTCATTATGTCAGCGGGGCTGAGCAATCTACTAAACTAAAGTAAAGTTATAATCAGATAACCGCAAACAATATCAGCACAACAGCCACACATTGTAATTACAACTACAACTACAATTACAATTACAATTACAATTACAATTACAATTACAATTTAAATTACAATTCCATTTACAAAGTTGTTGTTGCCTCATAAAAATAGCAATCACATTTGCATTACATGCTTTCAGTTCAGTTATGTTCTCATCCCATTCAATTACCGATTACCCACTTGGGGTCCCCCCTTTAGTTACAGTCAATGTAAATTGATATGGTTTGTACCATTCGATTCATACTGCGCATTTTCGATTCGTAATGCCCACTAGTGGGCGGCTTGAAACTGCACCCAGGGTGTGCTCTGCCCTCGGACCTATCATCGTCGAAGGGCCATCGAGCAGCTATCTGTTAGATTGTCAATGGATATATAAACGTGCGAGCCTCATGATATATGTATACAACGCAATTTACACGTAATGCATAGCTTCAAATAAACGATCATTGGAACTGTGCTCTGTCAAGTGGTTATTGGTGACATCTAAGCACTAAAGCTATTAATTAATCGTCTTTGCGCTTTAAACAATGTTACATGATTTTTGAATTCAAAATTCAAGCACGAAAATACCATAAAAAATTAAAAGAGCTCTTATTCTTAGGTTTTAAAGTAAGAGTGCACAGCATATTTATATTTATATTTATATTTATATTTATATTTATATTTATATTTATATTTATATTTATATTT